ACAGAATGGCTTGCCTTAGGCCGGGCCATTGCTCAAGCTAAGAATCGTGCGGTTGGTTGCTATGATAATAAGCGCCGACAAGCTGTCAAACAAATTGACCAATTCAAGTGACATGATTGACGTTGTTCAGAGCAGAGTTGCTGCCATTTTGCAGGCCCCTTGGCCAACACCCCATGAAACCACTCAAGGAACGTTCCCCACTGGGCTGTGCAGCCAAAAGCTCCTGTGTTGGAAAGGGTAGGGGCCCCCGAGGACTCACTAAGCAGAAATTCTTGCAGCGTTTGGTCAGCAAGCAAGAGTTTGTGGAGGCAGACCATCTTTGGCAGCTGTGCGAACGCGGTGTCCGCTGCTCCCAATGCAAGGTCAAGTTGTATTTCTCAACTTCCTGGCCTCTATTGCGGCGAGGGGCGTCCACTGAGTGCGCGTGCAGATTGAGGGGCGATTTGCCTGAACAATCAAACAGTGGGGGTGCGGCCGTGGTGGAGCATGAACCTGACTTGATTGAAGTGAGTGAGTTGAACGCTGTGCGTGGGCCGGAACTTATTTCTGAGGTGGTGCAGGCCGTTAGTTTGGAGTCAGCTAAACTAGGTGAACCTCGCTGGCTTAAGTTGAGCGTAGAGCGTGCCGCTCTTGTTGCTTCTTTGATGGAACAAGCGCAAGCTTTTCCGAGAACTGATTTGGGGACACATCTCTTTGCTTTTGGTCCGGCTTCTGTAAGTTGTGCACGCTGTAAGGATTCAATCACACAAAGCTTCTGGAGCTGACCAGTTACATTTGTGCAAAGTTCAACTTGCATCACTGTAGGAAATTTTGCATGCTTTGAAGTGCACGCCTCGCACAAGCTTTTTCAATATGGTAGTAAGCGGAGGTGTTTTATGTGTGGGTCTGTTCTTGTTCGTGCAGGAGATGCTTGGAAAGAGACGACAATGCTCAGAAACCCTTGTTTGCAGCGTGTGCCTGGTAGACCTACTGACCAGGCTGATGCACGGAGGCTCCTGCAGCAAGTAAGGGCTTGGATGAATCCGTCGCAGTCTCTTAAAGCAATGTTTTCGCGCTCTCCAGCCTAGCTTTAAAGTGTGGGGGCGACTGGAGTGCGTTGGCAGTCCCACGCTCTGGCTTTTGAACCCATTTTTGTTCGGCAACGTTTGCTTTGACCTTCTAAGTATGCCTTATGCTAGTGATGTGAGTGTGGCCGCCGCCTCATCCAATGAGCCTGCACCTTGAAATCCATGGTGGACAAGAACTTTGCAGCCGCTCATGCCGCCGGCCTTCTGTGGCACGTCGAGGGTTGAAGATGTTGGGCTTCGTGTGCACTTTGCACAGAGTGCGCGCGCGCGGGACGGCGGGCTCGCGCGCGCTCTGAATTACGCTCCAGAAAGGTGCGCTCAGGGCGCGCTCTGCAGAGAGAAAGACAGAGAAAGGGCGAGCGCGCGTGTGCGCGCGCTCGTGTGCTTTGGACGGCGCGCTCACGCTCCAGAAAGGCGTGGTCAGAGCGTGCTGTGCAGAGAGAAAGACAGAGAAAGATAAACTTGAAGAGAGAGAGAGAGAGAGAGAGAGAGGCAAGAAAGAAAGAAAGAAAGAAAGGAAGGAAGGAAGGAAGTCAGGAAGAAAGAAAGAAAAGAAAGAAAGAAAGAAAGAAAGAAAGAAAGGAAAAGACAAGACAAGACAAGACAAGACAAGACAAGAAAGGACAAGAAAGGACAAGAAAAGAAAAGAAAAGGAAAGAAAAGGAAAGAAAAGGAAAGAAAAGGAAAGAAAGAAAGAAGAGAGAGAGAGAGAGAGACAGAGAGAGAGAGAGAGAGAAAGAGCAGGGCGAGCGCGCGCGCTCGTGTGCTATGGACGGCTTACTGGGCTCTTGTCCTCCTCTTGTCCTCTGTGCTGGGCTCTGTGGCTGGGCCTGGGCCTTGTCCTCTTCTTGTCCTGCTCTTGTCCTTGTCTTGGCCGCGCCCCTGAACTCTGTGGCTGGGCTCTGTGTCCGGGTCTTGTCCTCCTCTTGTCCTTGTCTTGGCCGCGCCCCTGAACTCTGTGGCTGGTCATTGTGGCCCGGCTTACTGGAGAGGAGTGTGGCCGAACAAATAGCGATGTCAATGCCGACAAAAATTCATTGATGAAGCATTTTGCTCTTGGGGTGACAGTAGGGCGTACCAAGAAATCGATTTTTGACTAATATTGGTCTAAACGAATCGTTTTGAAGCTGTTTGGGGTCTATGCTTGTATAATTTACATGTTAGATGAGGTTGCGCACATTTTGAGGGTGGCACATCTTGCGCGTTTTCTGCACACTTAACTTCAGAATTTTTAGCTTTACAGGCTCTTTGCAAAGGTTGTTGAAGAAATTCCTGGTGTTACTGAGAGCAAGGGCCATAAGAGCCAGGCTCATGCTTCCTGTGCTGAATGTGGTTGGGTGGTTGGGCTGCATTTGCAGATTGGAAGGCCCTCCATCATTCCTCGCATGGCCTCCACCTCGGTTCCTTCCACAGCTCGTGACGATCAAGGAAGAGGAGGCATCGGCAAGGCTGCACTATTGGGGGTCCATCCTTTTGTTGATTGGACATGTTCAAAAACATTTTTTGACTTTGGGTTGCCAAGGTAGGTTTGAATAATTCTTGAAACTCATTGAGTTTTCGGATGAATGGCATGCTTGCATTGAAGTCAGACTCTTGACATAAGCAAGTGTGCATGCATTCTCCGTTTTGTTTCCACGTTTTCCTCGGCCAGTGAGGTTGTCACCGGCATTGATGGCAGCTGTTTGCGAAGCAATGCGCTTCGGTGCTCAGAAGAAGTCGGTTTGTGCTTCCGCTACATGGCTTTGCCAACCATTAAGATCATGCTGCCCAAAGAGCCTTGCAAAAAGAATTGCATCAATCCCACATCCTTACCTCGAGCTGCAACAAGAAGAAGAGGCTACTGATTTAGAGTGCTTGATGTGTGATGGGGAAACCAAGCGCAAGGTCCCGGGAACAAACCTTTGTTTTACTTTGGCCTTGATTTTCTACCACCTCACTTGTGCCAGTATGGTGGCTGTTGCCATTGCAAATGGCTGGCTTTCAAGCGATGGCGGTGGCTTAGCATGGGAACTGTGGGCACTTTGGCAACAGCTTTGCCTTTGGACTTTGTTTCTTCAGAACTTGGCGAGATGCATCAAGGAGGTAACTTGGAAGGAATTTGAACAGTTCAATGTTATTGTGTGATGTTATTTGTTGCATCATTATTAAAGTTTAAGATAACGAGTCATTTGTTTCGAATCGCCTCACCAGCACAGTGTTAGCCGTGAGAGATTTGCGGACTTGTTTTTTTTGATTCTTTCCTTTGGTGGTTTTCTCCCCCCAGCATCATGTCATGTTTGCTTTGGAGCACCGATGGAACTTTCTCCAAGGAGAGCGAGGCCTTGCAGGCCTGTACCGCCACAACTGTTGCTCTTTATACCATGCCACTCATCAGTGAACTGGCTGACACCATGAAAGACTGGGTGGTGACAGGAATTTGTATCCTCCATGTGAAGACATGGTACGGTGTTGCCATTGGAGCTGCGCTTGTTGGCATCGAACTCGCTGCATTGAAGGCTGATTGGATCCCTCGTTTTATCCCCATCTCCAAGATGAACGATCTGTACATCAGACCTCCTTCGATGGTCTTGCAGGCCAGGCGTGCACTTTGAATTCGACGTACTCGCTTGTCAATTGAGTTGTTTAATTTCTTCGAAGGGGTTAAATTCAAACGTTTCAAGGCCTAGTTAGTCGCCTTTGTTTTTAGTATCAAGTGCAGGCATGCTGTGCGGCGCTGCTTGTGGCGCGTTTCCATCTGTGGATGCTCTTGCCAGGTGCCGTGTTTGTCTACAGTTGGGACTCTCACAGTCTCCTCTCGCTGGTGTTGTTCCACCTTCCAGTAAACTTGCTGATGATTGGCTTTCTCCCGGAGATCGATGCCTTTTGCTCCAGCTTGTCTGCAGCAGCTTTCCCATTGCTGGTCGATGGTGGGCTCTTGGCAGTGATGTCCGCTTATGTCATTGTGTATTCTTACATTGAGGTGAATTCACACGACGACTGTGCTCGAGAGCTTCGGAAAACCTATGGAGCTATTCTAGAACTGCCTTTGAAGCCTGCTATGAAAATCGATGAAACCTGGCCGGAGTGGATTGCAAGACAAGCTAGCAATCAGTTTGTCGCCTTCCTCAGTAGTTCTCGCTTGGTCATTGCCTGGGGAGAGGACTGGCCACAAGGCGTTCTTGGCGTTTTGCTTGTGGTGCGATACTCCAGCGGTGGTAGTGTGGGGTTCGCTGGCCTTTCTGCAATCATCAGCATTTCGAAAGGACTGTTGATCCCATTTTGCCAACAAATCATCCTGGATCAGCGTATGGCAGTAGTCCAGAAGAGCTTGGATGCTTTCATGGATTCCCAGGAGTTACAAGATCTGTTTGCAGACCTCAAGAAATCTTCGGTTCTCGGACCTGAAGCAGTCCTGAGTTTGCTACCAGATTCATTGAAGCAGCCTTCGCAGGATATTCTGACACGCTTCAACACTTCGGAGGCCGACCTTTTCGAACCAGTGAGACAGTTTCGGGAGGACTGGTTGACAAATCTTAGGGATCCTGAGAATTCTGAGAGGATCCGGTGTTGCCTTGTAGGGAGCTATTTGAAGCAGGGTCTCCCTTGCAAAGTATTGTATAACTCAGGACATATGATAGGCAAGTGCCAACTTGCTGGTTTCACTGCCGCTCAATGCAAAGAGATTGGTGGCTTCACTGCCAAGCAGTGCAAGGATGCCGGCTTCTCTGCTCAACAGTGCAAGGATGCTGGTTTTTCCGCCGAGGAGTGCAAAGATGCAGGATTCTCTTGCGGTGATTGCTACGCTGCAGGCTTTTCAGCCAAGCAGTGTAAGGACGCAGCCTTCACGGCCGAAGAGTGCAGGACTGCCGGGTTTTCGGCGAGGGATTGCTACGATGCAGGCTTCCCTCTTGCAGAGGCCGGCTTCAGTGCCTGGGACTTGCAAAAAGCAGGCGGAACTGCCGAGGTCTTTAAGGACCTTGGCTTTTCTGCCCAAGGTTTGAGGGAGTCTGGGTTCACGGCTGAAGAATTTCTCATGGCTGGCTTTCAAATCAAGGATTGCGAAGTCGTGGGTTCGGCAGACAAGTGCTTTGAAGCGATGAATGAAATGAGACAACGTGATGGGCGGTCCGCCCAATTCTGGATAGATCGTGGCTACACTGCTGAAGAGTGCAGGAAAGGAGGGTACACGAAGGAGCAAATTGAGAAGGCCAGCTTTGACTGAGCCACTGCCGACACTCTCTCAACTCTCAATCTAGCCAAAAAGACGTTAATTAACGCGCACTTATCCTCAACATTCCTCAACATTTTCGCTCGTCAAATATTGACATGCACAGTTTGGCTGCAAACACGCAGCCAGCAAACACTGGCGCTATGCTCCAGGCAAGCGCCTGTCTCATCCTGCTGTTGCATGATGAGCGAGTCCACTGGTCGCCGGAAAATGCCAACTGCGATGATCGTGTTTCGCTCCATTGCGAGGTGGCCAGCTTTGTTTGACTTGAACCCAGCAGAGGTGGAGAGAAGTACAGAGGTGGTGGAGGTGGACCATTGGAGTTACCACCAACATGAGGATTCGGTATATAAGTATATAGGTGAAAGTCTACCCACCAATTTATTGCTCATCCCCCGAAGAACCAGGCACCGTGGTGTGGATCACCGCGGTGCATGGATCACCGCTGAGGCCATGTCGATGAGGAGTGCAGCGCTCATCGGAGCGCAGACTGGGCAGCCCGGGGTGTCTCCGAAAAGTGCGCAAGCGCGCTCACCGCGAGCTAAGTCAAAGTCACGGTCGTGCAGCTAAGGTCGCCTCGCCTATCAGGGCCTATGCTACCAATGGTGCTTTTGGGGTCAGATCTTGGAACGCAAACTATGATGATTCATTCTCGGAAGATCCCACCTTCGTGAATTGGAGTTTGGAAGTCAACCTTCGTTAATCTGTTCTTGGGTACCAGTATAGCGTGTGGGATGGCTTGAAATGTGACAAGCAGGCAGCATTACCTGCTTTTGGCAGAATCTGTTCACAAGTTCTGAGTGCAAGGGATCAAAAACCACCCAGAGTCCGTGACTTGTTTGTGGGCGCAATGATTGTCATCTATCGACTGGAGATCAACATGGTGATTGTTTGAGTATTGTCATTGTGGACAGAAGTGGAAGGACAATAGTCAATAGTGATAAAGACCTGCCTGGTAGAGCAAGAGGGAAGGAGGTAACCTGAGAAGTTGATTTGCAAAGGACCCAGCAGCACGGGCTTGTTATTGAGTTACAATTAGACTTAGAAATTACTAACAGAGTTTAAGAAGTTTCTAGCTCAGGGAAGAGGTTGGCGTTTGAATACGGGATACTGTATTTAGGCAGGCAAAATCCATGGTAAGGAAGCATACATGCGTGAGATCCATGCAAAAACACAAGTTAAGCTTTTTTGCCTACACATCAACCGCAGAATGCAAGCCATGGCACAAGGTGGCAGAGCCGGGGGCCAGGGGATAGATGTGATGCCAGCTTTTACATGTGGTATGGACCACAAAAATGACCCAACTGCTTTCTTCTGTGGAACACATATTGTATTGTACACATGCCTAGAGCCAACGTTGTACTTTTAGAACCAGTTTCCATGATTGCATATTTATGCTCTCTTCTGTGGAGCACATATTATATTGTAATTATATACATATGCCTAGAACCAACGTTGTACTTTAAAGCAGTTTCCATGCAATATATTTATATATACACAGCAGACCTCTGTGCATTTTAGAAGATTGGCAGACTTTTTCTATTCACTCTTCAGCATTTCCTGTGAATCGGTAGGAGCGCAACCCAGTTGTGGGTTGACGTGATGGATTTTCCGAACAACCTCGGATGAACTCATGCATGTTTTTAGCATGTCTTTTCTGTTGTAAAACTCAAGGGCACAAGAAAACATGAACCATGTATGGCTTGGGCCAAGTGCGTTCGAGAAGCTTCAATGGACCTTATCCAAGTAGGTTCAATGCCTCTCATCCCCGAAGCTCCCAAATCGCTCTTTGTCCGGCCCGGCCCGGCCAGGCGATATGGCTTCGTACGAGTCTGTTCTGGTGAGCTGCGCGCGCGCGATGTTCTTGCGCGGAGAGTGAATAACACTCATCGGAGCAGGAAGTTCTATTTTGCACAGGTTGTGAGCTTTCTAGGACCGACCTGCTGCTCTTTTTCAATGGGTCACTGTTTAGGTCATGGTTGCGTTGGCTTTGATGATCTGTGTGATAAAAGCACAGAAGAGGGTCAGAATGCACTAGGCAAATGTTTGGAGAAAGCAAATTACGGAATATTACGGAGAGTTTGTTTGCCAGTCTTTGCCTTCGCGGTTGTTTGACACTCCTCCTTCCACGTTTTTTCCACGTTGCCCAATTAGGGTTCTCAGTCTTCAGGCTCAGAATGTGCAGCTGAAGTTGGATCTGCAGTCGGGGTGCCCAGTTGAAGTTGTTCGCATGGGTGTCAAAGTAACCTCATGTCTCAACTTGTTCTGAATCGTTGGGGTTTCAGCAGATTGTGGGGCCCTTGTGATAGTAAACATAGTTGAAGCAAAACCAGGAACAGTCTTGTTAGGAGTGGGGGCAACAAAGATTTTTCGGTTTGGATTTGGTGACCTCTTGTGACTCTTGTGACAATGAAACCAACAGAAACTCAGCAAAAAGGCGTGGTTTCCAGAGCCTCATAGCCTCATCAGGAGCTTTTTTCACGGGGCCGAGTTGCTTGGACCTTGTCATTTGGGGGCTAATGAACTTGGACCAGATGGACATGTCATTCAGAGAGCCGCTGTGCCGCGCCGCAGGAGTTCTCTGTCCGAGCTTTCGCGAAAGGAGGACCTGTTGGAGGGAACGTCGGGCCCGTTGATCTGTGGGCATTTTTTGTGGTGGTTGATCAGGCGTGCTGCAGAATTGCTGCTGGATCGCACAATGAGCTGATTGGAACATGGAACCTCGGACCACAATGCCTTTGAATCTATATGCTTTACTGATTGAACTTACCAGGATACAGGATACTCCTGATCTGGAACCCATATTCTTGAGAGCAATAGGGGTGCTGAAGAAGCGGTAGTTGTCCAAGAGGCGCCACGCGCACAGATTCCCCGTCACTTTGGTTTGCATTGTGTTGCTTGCTTTGCGGGTTTTGCTTTGTGGAAGACCAAGACAGCCATTCTACAGAAAGAAGATGCTGCAAATGGCTTAATTGTTCTTGGCCTGCCTCAACTGCAACTTTTATACATTTCTTCGCTGAAAGCCTTTGCATTCTAGACGACTGGACTTGGTTTGCTGGTGTATGATGCGCGACAGAACAAGACTTTGCCCAGCGGGCTTCGAAAGCACATGAACGATCTATGTGTTGGAGGGAGATTAGCATCTATTAGCATGATATTCACTGCAGGACTTGTTAGTGCAGTTGCTGACCTTCTTTTTAGATGATCTATATACCAAGAGCACCTGTGCCTTGAACGTTGGCTTTGCCAGAGTCTTGATAACATCATGTTGGAGCTCTGGGGGGTTCAACCCCAACACCTGAGATTTACCGAACCAGCCAGACGACTCCACTGAACCTCAGGTCGGGGTTTTCCAACCTCTTTCCACGCCTTTCCCATGAGTCTTTCACTAGTCCATGCGGGGTTGTTCTGTGCAACCCTGGCGCGGTCGGGCTTCTCCGGCGCCATGCTCCCGCCCTCCACGCGAGCCGGTGCTTCTGCTGCGCTCCGGGCGACGGAAGCGCTCGGAGCTGGTGGGTGCCAACGCTCAAGTCTTGGTGGGTTCAGTGGGCCGTCAGTGTCTCGGCTTCCGTTCAGCGTCGGTGGGGGTTCACAATCCTTTTCGAATGCTTGTGCAGGGGTAGGGTGTTTTTCCTTCCCTGAATGGTGTTTCCCCTTCCCGGGGGGTTTCCCCTTACTGAAATGGTGTTGTTCCGTCCCGTATGGGTGTTTTCCTTTCCTGTATGGGTGTTTTTCCTTGCCGGAGTGTTTTTCGTTCCCTACCAAGTGTTTTTCCTTCCCTTGTTGATCTTATTGTGCTGGTATAGCGCCAAGTTCTAATACTCGCTACGTTTTCAATTGAATCTCCAGCAAAATTTATTCGCAGCCGGCTGTTTTCAAATCCGGTGTCCGTATTTGGAAAGTCACAGCTCCCATAGTGTTTTGCTCATCGATGGCTCTTATATAGACTTGCAGCTTTGGCTCTTTCCAACTAGAGACGGAGACTTTGCTTGAAGGCGGCGCATGTTTTGAAGACAACACGATGAACCTTCAGGCCGAAGATGACGCGAGCGAAGCCAGCCGACTTGGATTCTGTGACGACACGGAGAGCGCTGCCAGCTGACATGGTAACGTTAAAAGACTATGGGTCTCTAAGCGAGGGGCAGCGCATGCAGGTGGGTGAGCCTACAGCAGAAAGATGCTGCATGGTGCAAAGTGTATAGGTTTCAGAAAAGGCACCCGGTTTGGGGGAGAGCGGAGCGATGCAAGCGAAGCCAGCCGACTTGGATTCTGTGACGACACGGAGAGTGCTGCCAGCGGACATCGTAACGTTAAAAGGAAAGAACATGGGTCTCTAGGCTTAGCCCATGCAGGCGGGTGGGCTTTTAAAAAGCGGGACGGGGTGCGGGGGAGGGTGCAGCGCCTCTTTCGTGTGGACGCCGCGGGGTCGTATGTTGCTCTGGGTAGCTAGAATAACATTGTAGTAAGCAGTGGGCACCGGCCAAACTGGGTAGCTTTTTTCTGAAACCTATACACTTTGCACCATGCTTATCTCCTCATGAAGCAATCTTTCTGCGGGCGCCGGCCAAACCGGGTAGCTTTTTTCCCTGAAACCCATACACTTTGCACCATGCTTATCCCCTCATGAAGCAATCTTTCTGCTGTACTGCGCTCCGCTCACTGTTGGGCTGCCCGTTTGTCAAGCCGTTTTGGCGTCCCGTCACCGTCCGCTTCGATGAAGGCAAAATTGCACGCAGTACAAATAGAAAGCAGGATGGGTGATGGTGGGTGCAAATTTATAGTTTTCAGGTTTGGCGGAGAGCGACGCGATGATATGGCCGGGGCTAGGGTGCTCATTGCCCATGGAACCCCCAGTGCTCATAGAAGCCCCAGCAAATCAAGGTGGGCGTGAGCGATGGCAGCGTGTGCAAAGGGTGGGCCTTTAAAGGCGGGAGGGGGTGCGGGGGAGGGCGCAGCGCCTCCCCCGCGGGGCTCGCGAAGCGAGCCCCCATCACATTTCAACTGTGGACTCTGCGGGGTCGTCGGTTGCTCTGGGTAACTAGAATAACGTCAGTAAACAGTGGGCGCCAAGCGTGGCAGCGGAGCTCTCCACCAAACCGGGTGCTTTCTTCTGAAACCTATACACTTTGCACTGTGCACCATGCTTATCCCGTCATGAACCATCTTTCTGCTGTACTGCGCTCCGCTCACTCTTGCGCTGTCCCTTTGTCAAGCCGTTTTGGCTTCGTATGTCCCCGCCCGCTTCGCCTCGCCTGACAGCGTCCGCAAACTTAAACATAGAACCAAACAAAAAAGAAATGTATAAACAACTTCGACTGTTGCATTGTGAGCGCATGTCACCCATGTATACAAAAGACAGCTTGTTGTACAACAAAATCTCAAATGTAGCGATGTAATGTCTTCCTGCCTGTGTCTCATATCTGTGCTACGAAACGTCACACACTAAAGGTGTCAAATGTGAAGACCTTGCCACATCCACTTTTTAGACCATGTAAACAAAAAATTGAAAGCTTAAAAGGTCTAAATGTAACGTCTTTACCTCTGAGCTCTGCATAGTTCAGACAGGATAGATCAAACGAGCGAAGTTTAGACCTTTTTCTTCTCCTTGTGCCCTTTCCTTTCTTTTTATTTCCTATTTATTTTCTTTTTGCGATAGCCGGCCGCAAGCTAGACTTTGGAAACAACACACACTTTCTAGGGAACAACAAACACCCTTTCACTTTTTCATACACACCCGGAACGCTGGGAACAATACACACCTTTCAGGGAACAATAAACACCAGCGGCCCCACAAAACACAATTCAGGGCCTGAAAAACACCAGCCGGGCACGAAAAGCACCGCGGCGTACGGGAACGAAAAACACCAGGGGAACAAACAATTCCCAGGGAAGGAAAAACACCCGAGCGGGAAGCCAACACCTCCCGGGAAGGGAAAACACCATTCAGGGAACGAAAAACCCGCAGCCCCTTGTGCAGTGACATGCAACCACATGGCTCATTTCAGGTCAACCAGTGTGATTTGGATGGATCATTTGGGAAAGGGACAAGAGGTCGGAGGCCATCGCTACTAGGGTGGAGGCCATCGCTCTGAGGTTGGAGGCCATCGCTATTAGTTTGGAGGCCATCGCTTTGAGGTTGGAGGCCATCGCTATTAGATACTGAGAAGGCTTTGCCTTTGAATCCCGGGCCATTGGTGCTCTTTTAAGACTTGATTTGGTCTGTGGAACGTGGTGAACAAGAACAGCCGGGCAAACGCCAGGACCAAGAGCAACCTTTGATATCTACCCAATGTTGCAGAGGATGGGAAACCTTTTTTGGTGTTTCTACAAAACTTTCATACCTGTAGAAACCTGAAGATGAAGGACAAGCCCGCTTCTCAGTTCGGCTTCCCTGCCCGCTTTTTCGGTCTTCCTTCCAAACTGGCCCGACCCCTACGTCTTCGTTTCGAAAGCCAGAACTTGGTCCGAGGCGGTGGCCGCCCTGTGCACCAGCCTTCCAGTGGCGAGGCGGCGGAGCGTGTCCGGGAGGTTGTCCAGTGCGATCGCACGAAGTGGCGCGATCATTCACTTGGCTCACTTGCCACGGGATCTTGAGAGTATTCTTCCAACGTGCGTCTGTCACGGTTGGGTTGGGATCTCAAGTTGTGTCTCTCACATTCCCAACCGCAGTGCGTTGGACATGCTGCAGGACGCTGGCACGAAGGCGCAGACTGTCCCGCCCTTCTGGCAGGTGTGCCGTCGGGGCTCCCACCTCGGTGGGAGTGGCCGGGTGGGTTGAGACCTCTCCATGAGGTGGGGTGGAGTCTCTAGGAGTTCGTGGTGTGCTCCGAACTCGATGAGGTCGAAGCAAGTTTTCTGGCTTTCTGTGAAGGATTGATCTCCTGGTAGTTTGGGGTTTGGGAGCCACACCGTGGCTCGGGGTTTAGTGCCTCATAGGCTCATAAGGTCAACGATGATGTGACTGGAACAAACAAGTGATACAGTGATACCCTTTGTTTGCCGACACTTCTTGTCCTTTTCAAGGGCTGTTTTGAGCTTACAGTAGGTGGAGTGCAGCTGAAAGATGCTGAAAGTATGTATAGATCAAATTCTTCAATAGCCAGTAGCAGTCTTGCATGTATTTGGCTGGATTTGCTGTGATTCCATCCTTTGCCAACGCATCCTCGCACTGCCGACCTTTGACTGGGCGAACCGCTGGCTCTAAATCCATCACGAAGAAGATAGAGCCTTCATGTGAGAACAACTCAATGGAGCATGAAGCTAGGTGAAGCTGGGCCAGCTAGAGAAGAACACTGCAAGGGACGCTCTGGGCAGGTCAAGAGTTTAGGTGTCCACTTCGATCACAATTGTTCAGGATCAATTCCGCAAGGATGGGCTGTCTGGGTTCCAAAGTGGCCGTGGTCACATACAATTTGCATCTTGGCTGCCTTGGCCAAAAAAGGGTCTAACCCCATCCAAAACGGTCCAAAACCCCATCACCTTCGTCCAAAACCCCCGTGCGATTCCTCCCGTCGTTCGTCGTTCGCTTGACTTGCTTCGACACCTTCTCAAGCGGCCCAAGCCGGGCGGTTTCTCAGCGACATCGCTGCGGACACCCATCCGAAGCAAGCGGTTCAGTCCTTGAACAAAGACGGCCTTTGACCAACCGGGGCGCGACAGGTCCAGACTGGACCGAAATCGGGCGACAGGGTCGACTCGAACTCGGTCGACCGCCCGGTGCCCAGTGCAGAGCTCGTTTTGGAATAGCAGTGGAGTTGGACTGCTTGCTCAACAACATTTATCACTTCACCATGGTTCTGACAGGTGGCTGTGGGTCAAAAGCCGGGGGACCCTGGTTTTTCCCGAACATTAGGCTATGACCACTTGGGAGGTCTGCCACAACCTTCGGACACGCACCTCCGCGCGACCCCGTGTCCACGTCCCTTCGCACGCAAGATGAGCTCGCTCTTCGACCGTTCGCAGTCCTGCGCCACGGGGTGCTCTTCACGACTGAGGTATTGGTGGTGTGTCTCTGATGAGACTTGGCGGACCGAATCGAGAAGAGATGGAAGGAAATGAATTGGTCCACTCAGTCAATCAGTCGGTTCGGGTTCCCTTTTTTCCTCACTCAGGTTGCTGCTTCACATGTTGAGCACTTCCTACTTCTTTCCAGGGATGATGCGATGCTTGTGATACGATGTTGAGCAATTCGAGGGGTGTAGAGATGCTTGTTTGATAGAGGGTAAGTCTGTCACGCAGTCAGGAAGTAGCCGCGCCTTTCCGGCCCGGGCAGCCCCCTCAGTCCCCGGAGCTTCGTCGAAGCACGAGAAGCACGAAGACCAGCCAAGGAGTATGGGAATTGCCCTCAGTTTAAGGCAGAGAAAGGCTGCCCAGCGAAGTTGGATCAAGTTTTGTTTCCAAGACTTAACTTTTTGTGACTTGTTTTTTTTGCTTTAACCTTGATGGACAGAATGGACCGAACACATCCCATTGCGACACTGGTGTTCCCCCCGCCCATTTTTTGTCTTCGCGACCAGCACCAGACCGGCCAGGAGGCCGGTCCGAAAGAGGCGGTCTGCCAAGACAGACCTGAAAGGATTATGACAACAGACCTGCAACAGCTTGGGTTTGTGGTCGCCAACAGCTTGGGTTTGTGGTACAGCTTGGGTTTGTGGTCCTGCTACTGACCATCAACTCTTTTTTTTGTGGTGGGGCCATCTAGGGCAGGGCGAGTTTTTTGATCTCTCGGAGTCTCGTTTTTCTCGCGGGGGAGGCTTTCAGAAGCTGTACCAGAACATTGCGGACCACAATCCCATCGACTTGATTGGTTTTCAGGAGCCGGTCCGGATCGAAGAACGATGACGGTCCCGGATGGGGTGTCTCCGTCATCGTTTTTTTCGGCAGCTTCAGGTTTCGACTGCACCAGGTGCAGTCGGGGTGCAGTCATCTCGAGAAGTAAAAGATCCCTCCCAAACTGGAGCAGTCCACCAAAGGAGCCGCCAAGGAGGGGGAACTCCTTTCATCTACAGAAGTCTGGTGGAGCTTCGTTCAACCTGGGTGAGACCCTCCTGAACAAAATGCTCCAGTTCAAGTGAACTCACGGGCGTGAATGGGACGAGTCCTTTCAGTCTCGGTCCAGAGTCGCCTGGTCGTCACTCGGCGTTGTCCTCCCGAGTTCCAGGAGTGCAATGACGTGGGCAAAGTCTTGATTGGATCCAACTTGACTCACTTCCAGTTCTATGCACCCGCAGGCCATGCTCGGTCGCGCAAAAGAGCCAACATCGGTCGCAAAAAGAGCCAACATCGGTGCAAAGACTCAAAGGCTCGACGAACGAGCACATGGGGCACATGGGGGGCACATGGGCCCTTTTGGACTCCTTTTGAGCACCAAAGGCTCGCTCGGACGCACCTCGCCGTTCACCTTCCAGCGCTTTACATCGCCCGTGCGCGAACACCGCGCAGGCGATGCACCGCTGGCATGGAATGCGGAGCGCTTTGACCGCGTTGGAGAGGGGGGCACCATCGCTGTGGCAGAGGAGAGACGATGTCCCGGGTGCTGGTAAACTGAAACTTGGGGCAGTTGTAGAGAGCATGTCTTTTTGTTTGAAAGCTTCTCCATCTCTTGATATCCTGATGGTCGCGCATGAATCAGACTTTGCATGTCTTTGCTGTTTTTTAAGCAGCGGAGGGACTGCAGGGTGTCGTTTTGGAGGGTGTCGCTGGTCTGACAAATCTCTTTTCTTGGCTTGGTGGTTTCAGGCAAACAAAACTGCAGCTGCAGATTGCTGAAACATGGCCAAACCTGATGTCGATGCCAGGTCAGGATGGCCAAATAGCTGTTGCTGGGAGTTTAGTGTTGAAGGCTTTGGTGTTTTGGTGAGTCTGGAAGTTCGCCCCTGCAAGTACGTCACCCACTCTCTCTCTCTCTCTTTCTTTCTTTCTTTCCTTTCCCCAGATGTGAACCCAGGTCACATATAGAGTCCCTGCACAAAGCCACGTGTGGGGAAGTTGCTCAATTGAGTCACGAAGTTCCACACGGAAAGCTACCGGGTGACCGCTGACTTTCCTGCGGCTTCCACCGCTCGGTCGGTCGGTGCTCGGTGCTTGGAGTACCGGGATGAGCCGTGACGTGATGAGCCGAGTACGGCCGCAGGACAAGTACGGCGTTCGCTTCGTGAACTTCATCCGACTCGTTGAGAAGAAGAGCAGGGAGGTGCCACGTGGGCGCTGTGACTCGTGTCGTGGTGGTTCCGTGTTCCAAGCTGGTTGGCAAGCTGGCAAGCTGGCAAGAACCACTTTCATCCAATTTCGACATGTTTCTCAGCCAACTCACCGGACTTTCTTTCGCCAACACCAAGCATCTTTGGGCGCAGATGAGTCTGCAGAACCCAGACAACTCGCCCAGGTGATCTTCTTTGCAAACACGCATGGCCCTCTTTTGCAGTGCGCTGGCGAGAAAGGGGAGAAAGTGGCCGCAAACTACCTGCAGGCACGGGTCGTCAGCCGTCTTTTGTCCTGGCCTCGCGAGGCCCTTCTTCATGAAACAAAAATATCCCAAAGCCTCATGTCCAAGCATTGGTATATAAACATCCCATGTGCACAAGAGGTTTTGGCAGTTGCTTCTTTGGCCTTTGATCAACCACTGGCCTCACCCAAAACTGTTCACTAGGTCTTCACATCAGCCCCCCCAAAAGGACACCGTTGATTTCCTTGGGAGGAACTACTGAACCACTGGAGGACCTAAAAGGACCTAAAACCACTTTAAAAAACCCGCTGAGTCGAGACATGCCGTTTTTCTTGCTTTTTATCGTTGAACTTTTTCAGGTCATCGACACTCACAAACAGCCGGGAGATAAGGCGGGCCGGTCGGCTCGCTCCGGGAGCGAGGTCCAAGGGTCGGAGATCTGGGGGGGGGGGACTTGGACGAACGGGCAGGTGGGAGGGGGTTGGGCTGGAGGCTGAAGGATGTGATGATGTGGAGGACAAGCCACGTTTGCTTTTCTTTTGGAATCCTGGCTTGCTTGGCTTTTCGCAAGGCGAGGCTCCAAGTAGCCATTGAGGTGAAGCTCCACTTCTGAGCTTGGGTGGCTTCCCGACCCCTCCAATTTTCAGACTCGTTTTGGAAGCTGGAGCTCGGAGTGATGGTTCGGAGTGAATCCAGTCCGGTGAAGCCAGACGTGGGTGATGTTGTCACCACCGGTGCCACAGGTTAGCATGATGAACAAGTCCAAGGTGCTCCACAGGGCTCTTTACTTTTGGGACTTTCACCGAAAAACCCCAGGCTTTGACCCGACTTCCGCACCTGGCTTTCTGGTGCCTCTGCACTGTTTCTGGTGGTTCCTGGCCTATTCAACCACGCTGAGCTGCCATTTGACGGTGACCCGAGGGGTGGATTCGCTGTCCGTTGGACTAGTAGAAGGCAAGACATTATTTCTTTTCAAGGATGACACATGCGTCCAATGTCCATGCTCTTGACAGACCTTTTTGATGGATTTCTAGGAATTTTCTTGGAAGATCGCTGCCGGAGTGCTCAGATCCTGGTGCTCCCCCTTTTGCAGGTGATCTTCACAGGTGACTTCAACTGCGCCAGCACGGATCCTCCACTGTTGAAGTTGCCTGGCCTGTGTAGAATGTAGAGCACAAACACTCGATCAGACACACATACCGACATGGATGAATGAACCAATGGCAAGACGCTCACTTTGGCATCCTGAGCTGGTGACATTCTAGCAGGTTGATTGCGCAGCAAGGGCCATAA